GATGAAGACCATGTTCAAATCAAGTTGTTTATATCCTGCAGTTTTGACCTCTTCACTTCATCTCCTTCTCCTTAAACGTGGGTGGAATTGCAATAGAAACTTTACCATCAGTATAGAGTAGGTTGTGTCAGTAGAAATAGCCACAGATTCTGAAAATACAAATATAGAAACTTCAGTAAAACCCTGAAACCGGTCCTCTCCTGCCCCATTGAAAGATGGACCCTTTCATCTCCATGTATTTGATCCTCATGCTTTTTAAATCAGCTGCCTTTCACTTGATGTCTGACTGGTCCTCTTGGATTGGCTGTCTCCAGGCAACCATCATGTCCGGCTCCACCCTCAGTCTGAACCACGACCCCACACCCCTGCGCAGCACCCTCGGTCGGCAGGCCAGCTTCCAGGAGCGGAGCAACTCAAAGCCACAGGTACACAGGGAGCTGACCTCTGACCCCTGTTGGTTATCAAGCATCACATCAGTAGAAGTCAGATTATATCTCAAACTCAACATTTTATTTTTAAAAAGCGCCTTTCATGCCACTCAAGGACACTGTACAAAGACAATCGTCAGTAAAACAGCATTGAAACATAAGAAAACATACAGAGTCATAAATACATCATAGATAAAAACATCATAAATTAATAAAAATGGAATTAATAAAGTTGTGCAAAACAAGGGGAATGTTAGAGTTAGGGTTGGTGAGGTGGGTCAGAAATTTTAAACAGGTGGGGTTTGAGTTTTGTTTTGAAAAGAGGGAGAGAGTAGCCACACTCTGACTGAATCCCCCCTGCATTGTGGGTGATTACGGTCCTGGTTTTTGTCAGGTGACGGCTCGCTCCAACACCCTGCCCTCGGACCCCCAGCGCAGAGCCTTTGCCATGAAAAAGATGAGACAGGAAGTCAACGACATCTTGAATCAGAACCCTGTGGAACTCCACAAGGTGACCGACGGTTTCCTGGTACAGGTGACAGACAGGTGTACCTGTGATGACGTTAACGGTGTGTATTGGTTCGCAGCTCACTTTGGAGAAGGCCTCAGACTTGGAGGATTTTGGTTTTAGTGTTTCTGACGGTTTGTTGGACCGCGGCGTCTATGTTAATAACATCCGACCAGGAGGCCCGGCGGAGCGAGGGGGCCTCCGTGCCTATGACCGAATACTTCAGGTACGCAAATTCATACCTTCCAAATGTCCCACACATCTTGCTTCCATTAAATGTATAGTGTCATAAACCAATAGAGCAAGATTTTACAGCTAATTCATGTATCATTTTCCTTCAGATTAACCACGTTCGGACGAGGGACTTTGATTGCTGCCTAGTTGTTCCTCTGATTGCAGAGTCTCCCAATCACCTGGAGCTTGTCATCAGCCGAAACCTATCCTCTTCCTCCCCCACCCCTCTGGTCAATCACAATGACACCACCAACAGCACCCAGTCCCCAAAGCCTCTGGGCAGCGAGGTGGGACCCCCAGAGCTCACCATCGACCACGGAGAAGATGGAGCCTCCATCAAGTGGAAACAACCAGGAGATGGGCTGGGGGTTGGGCTTGGGGTCAGCCACATTACTAACAGTTCCTTATAGCAGAAAAAAAAATAGATCGAGCTGGATTCAACCAGTTATGACTAGACCTGACTGAACAAGTCTGTGAGGAGAACGGTGAGGACAACAATGTCGAAGTCAAACTGCTTTAGATCCATGTGAAAACTGGTTCAATGTGGACCTCCCATGGTGCTACACACACCCTCTGGATGAAGTTTGGCCTTTGACCTTTTGAGTTTGACCCTTAAACTGCTAAAGCAGCCTGAAAGCACACTACTGGACCAGAGAAACTCCTCACACAGTCCTCCGAACGGGTTCTTCGTACTGGTATAACTGGTGTCAATAGAAGCAGAATCATAACTACTGATCCTACTGGAAACCCAGCCGGAGCTGCTGGCCTTTCTGGTCAAAGATGAACGGTCACTGGTCCCACAAGCCATGGCTACTGGTCTGGTTGAAGTCTCAACCAGCTGTACGTGTGGTCTAAAAGCTTAGGACTGCTGGTTTAAAGCGCTTCAACAATGGTTTTGGTTTGAAAAGTCTAGAAGAGGGCCGCCTGTCCTTCTGGAACTAAATCTGTCAAAACCTGTGGTGTTACTGGTGAAAGACACATGTTCTCGTCTTGGTGGGAAAAGATTCATGAATCCTCTTCCATCAAAGCCAGAGCCATGTTTTGTCTTACTTGATCCAAGACACTGTTCTGGCTCATGTTCCCAAGGTAACAGAGCCAACTCCACTGGTCCTGTCCTGAGTCCATTTCCCTAATGGTCCAATACTCTTAGGTACGCGGGCAGAACTATGGGTACCATTCGATTGGAGCTTGAGCCATAACTAGTCTTACAGGTCCGAGACGTTGTTCTTGTGATGGCCTTTGTGGTGATCGTACTAAAGACCAGAGATGTGGTCAAAGTTTCTGGGAGTCCAGAGCTCCTAGCTTCACTGGCTAAAAACCACAGCAGCACAAGGACCGATTGGACTTGAGTCCAGATCCATCTTATGGACAGTAAGGTTGCCAAGGAGACACGGGATGCTCCAGTCAGTATCGATAGCTGATGCTGACATGAACCAAACTTGACTATATTATACTCCTACTAACTTTAGTAAGTTAAGAAACAAGCATTCAGTGGAGAATGCCCAAAGCACTAAAGGTGAGGTTGTTCTTAAGGACTGCACATGACACTGGAGAGTTGATGATATTTAGAATTCAAACAATGTTTAACCATCTGGTTCACAGAAAGCTACCCTGCACAGAGTTGATGAGAAGGAGGACGGAATAAAGGATACTGGGAAGAGTCTCACCATGGACCTGGCACAAAGGTCTGGTCTAGACGTGAGATTTCAGGATGGTTATGGTAAAGTGAGTCTTAAGCTGTAGGATGTAGGTAGGAGGTAGGCAGTGGGTTGAAGATCAGAAATCGTTCAGAAATGCTTTTAGTTGCCCTTTTAGAAGCTCATTTTAGCTGCTCAAAGCTCTTATTTATGATGTGGACACAATAACGACACACTGATGTTGGCCGTTTTGTTGCAATACGTTCACTTAAGCTGGTGTGACACGTCGCCACAAAAGAAAACCTTAAGTTGTTTTTACGCTTTTACAACGCTGGCTCTTTGTGATGCTTTTGCAAACCAAAAAATAGAGCCAACTGTTCCCAGCACTTTGATTACATTTCTTAAATGGTTGATATACTAAAACACTGAGCAAATATAGGCCCCTGAAAGCAACACTGTGAAGGCTCGAGGGTCAGATGAAACACTGGAGAAATGGGTACTGTACTTTTTTCTTTCTTTTCTGTAGTTATCAATTTAAAGAATAGCTTAGTTAAAAAAAAAACAATAAAAAAAAAACACGACAATCGGCTGATACTGATCGGAGCATCCCGACTAAAACAGAGACATAGGGTTTACTTTTCAGATTTTAGTTCTGTGCCATAAACGAGCTGCGTACTGGATCGATGATGATGATAACGATACTGAGCAGTTCAATACGAATCTTTTTCTACTGTTTACACCTGTTGGACTGGCCACACTGTGTATGTATGTGCGTATGTGCGTGTGGATGTTATGCGTGTCTGTTGCACACAAGGCCAGTTAAGCCCCGCCCACCTCAATTCCCCGTCTGGGCTCTAACCCCCCCCCCTTTCCCCCTTCCTTCGACCAATAGGCAGCCAGGAAGAAAGCTAGCAGTGGTTGTGAGAGATTCAGCTGATTGGCTGGAACCAATCAGAAAACAAACAGTTCCCTGCTTGTCTGTGATTGGTTGATTTATGTACTGAGGAGAACCAGTCAGCTCGTAGAAAGAGGCCAAGCATGACCCCACCCACCTCCTAGTGCCCCCATTCTCCCTGTCCCAGTAACAGTGAACTATTATGCTAATCAATAGGTGTGTTTTTGATTGACTGTTGTCAGTTCTCTTTGTTTGTTTGTTTGTTGGTTTGTTTGTTTGTTTGTTTCAGTGGCCACCGAACCTTAAAAAGATGTACAATAGATTTTAAAAAACGGTTCTGTCGCTGTTCACATCGAAACCATGAAGCTCCCAAAACCTTCACCTCGTGACCCTGAAAACAAGACAACAGTAAACACGAGAAAAAAAAGTTCTGTGAAAACAGGCAACCTGTGACATAAACTGCATTTTCTGTGTGTTGGTGTGAGAACGAATGAATGTGATTATTTTGGGTGTTCACATCTTCCTGCTGTCACCTCTGTCTGAACTCACTATTTACACTGGCCAATCAGATCCTGCCCTCAGCAGCAACCACCAACACAAGTTCCCCCACAGCCAAACATCGGCTCTCAGTCTGATCCTGGGCCTGAGATGTTTGGGAATAAGCACATCGCGAGCATGTAGTTAAGCTAGTGACTAGAAGGCTTTGAGCACATGGTTGATATAGCCATAGCATTTGGCCATTTACACAGCACAGGGCAAATCAGAGCCACCTGTTAAAAACCTCTTTACTATCAGGTGAACAAGTCTTTGATCAGCACATGGTTAACACAGCTAGTATGTGGCTAGCACATAGCGAACACAAGGCTACCATCTAGCTAGCATATGTCAGCACAGCCAATGCATAGTTTGCACAGACTTTGCACAAGACTAAGACAGGGCTAGCATCTGCTAATTAAACTGCTTCTGCAGGCATGTCAACACTGAGCTACCACTGCTGTGCTGCTAGTATCATGTGCTCCAATTGAGTTATGAAGTTGGAATTTATGAGTCACCAGCTGGTAAAGTTTGCTGAAACGACTCTAAATTTGGAGGAATCGCATCAGTCCTGACGTCAGAATCTAACCTGATCTCTAACCTGCCATTTTGTGTCTGATCAAACCAGTTGCAACCTCAGTACTACGACTTAATTAGGAAGATACATGAGATTTCTGCTGTTTTTCAGTGCAAAATGGAGCCAATGCACTGGTGTCAGCTCCAAGGCAAACGTAACTCAGCAGAAGACTTTGACCAGATTCCTCTTGGAACACAATTATTACAAGTGTGAAGCAATTAAAAACCAACTAGATGTCATAGTTCCGCATTCAGAATAGCTGGTCCACCCTGTTAATAAGCTTGGAGCTTTAGCAAGGGTTAAAAAACTAGCCACCTCTAGAATTTAGTGCACAACCAGCACAAAGTTGATGGAGCTCTGATTAGCATTTGGATGGGGTTCATTTTACTGCTAATACCAAACAATGCTTGTTCACAGAGGTTACGCCAGCTGCTGAGACTAGCTAGTGAGACAAATTGCTCCGCGAATGGGAACAGCCACAGAGCTGAGGGGCGTGGCTTCAGAGAGGGTTTAATGAGTGAGATCTAAAGCCATACACACTGTGCTTGTGCGTATGTAATGACTGCGCGCGTGTGTGTCCAGGAGTGCATTTGTAAGTGTGTGTGTTTGAATGTGTGTGTGACATTGCAGGGATTTGCACTCTAGTGATTCACCTCAGTAACACATCCGCCCACACACACACACACATACAGATGCACACACATACACGTGCATTGCACTGCCATTTGAAATAGTGGGTCAGATTACTTTCCATGTAGCTTCACCAACCAACCAAACTGTATTTTTTCTTTAAAGGAACAGGGATGTTGTAAAGTATTTTTGTACAAATTTAATACTTTGGTAGCATGACGTTCCTGGTGTTTGTCCTGGTCCTGTCGGGCTCCACTGCTCCTCTCCACTCCCCTTTGTATGAACTACTTCTGAGCAACAATAAAGATGAAGACTTGCTGGGAAAATTGGACTTCATGTGTTTTGACATTAACACACACATGTTTGTTAAGGGAATCTAACCTGAAATTTACATTAAAAACTCTCTCAAACAAATTTCTCTTTATGGCATTTTCAGTTAGACTGAAAAGGCAAATAAATCCTGTTCGTGTGCAAAACGTTTATTACATATTAACTGTTTTTTATATATACATTTTTGAGTGATTCTTGTGATACAAGCCCTGTTTGACAGTGGGTCATGTTGCAATATCAAATTATATACCAGTGTGGTGATATTGTGTATTAAGAAGGTAAGATATTTCCATTTGCATTCTTATTTAATCTTAAACTTTAGGCAAATAAGTAGATGACACAATAACAGGTTCACAGTACTAATTGAGAGATTAGGAGTTTTGACTTATTCAAAAATTAGGTACTAATAGAAAATTATATTAAAATGCCCTGGCCATATGTTGCTAGTCTTTACATTTCAGAATTTTCTACAGCTTTAAGAACAAAAGCTGACCATTTCAACAAATTGGCATTTTGATAAGGCATTTGTTAAGCAAAGACAAAGACTAACTGATACATCACTTCATTATATTAATGTATTTCATATGCATATTTTACATTAAAATAATCTGAGTCGTGCATGATTAAGTAGTTCACGGATGACATTGTCAGTCCCAACAGTTTTGGCTAATCATTTCGTCTGAAAATGTGCAAATCCAGTTGTAAATCGTCCAATATAGACTGGATAGAATGAATGAGAGCGGACAGACGTCACGTGACCTAAACAGGAAGTGACGTCTCCGCTCGGCGCTCTTTGCTCCAGCCTGCTCGGTGAATCGACTTTTCTGTGTTTCTGTTACTGGTTTCTCTGCACAGCGTTGTGTCCTGGTCTTCGCTGGATATTCATAGCAATAATTCTGCAGCACAAGTAGCAACAGAGCTCAGGACGAAGCATGTCTACCGCCCTGGAGAGCTACATCAACCGTATCCTACTGCTCTTATGAGCGAGCTAACAAGCTAACTACCATTTGAAATGAATGAGGAAATGCTAGTTAGCTTAGCTTAAAAGGTGGCGATGCCTCCGTTTGTGGTGGTTGGACTCGTATATACACAATTTATATATATATATAAAAACTTAAGCTTATCTCGTGGTGTTATTTTTATCAAACCATCATTTTAGACTAAACTTAAGAGTTAGTCTTTCTAGTAGGAATCTGTTTTTATCATTCCCTGTCATTTAGAACTGTTTTTGTTTCAGGCATGGGTTATGATTTTGGGCAACCTTAATGTTTGAGTTTTTGGTTTTATCTTCTTTTATACTTGCTGTATCATCCTAATTCACTCCGTTTGTATTTGGAGTTTAAGACTCAGATGTGAATGTGGGAAACATGTTTGGGAGTACAACGTTGAAGCTGACAGCAACACGTTTGCAACAAGATAGTTTTGTTTCAAAGTAACTCAGCTGAATATTCAAATTTTATGATGATAAAGTGATAAGTCTAGAAAAGCTTTTTTCCTTGACTCCTGCTAATTCAGGCACTGTGGCCATTGTTACCTCAGACGGTAGGATGATTGTGGTGAGTGGAAAAACAACACACACATTTTGTGATGTAAACAAGGCAACTAGATTAGTTTAGGTTGTGTATGTGTGTGGATCCCGTTATAGTCTGGGCTTAAAGGGTGATGAACGGCTGAAATGTTGGCAGAGATCGAGTGACTGTACCTCATCTACCTCCATTTGCTGGTTTGTTCAGGGCACCCTGAAGGGCTTTGACCAGACCATCAACCTAATCCTGGATGAGAGTCACGAGCGAGTGTTCAGCTCCAATCAGGGGGTGGAGCAGGTGGTGCTGGGCCTCTACATCGTCAGGGGAGACAACGTGTGAGTCCACCCTTTCCTTCCTTGATCAATATAGGGCTCTCACTTTTCTGGTGCGCTTTTAAATGGTAAAAGCACAGTTCAGGTTGCCTAAACTGGTCAATTCAGCCTAAAAAAACAGATTTTTTTTCCTCCCTTTTCCTATTAGAGCTGTGATTGGAGAGATCGACGAGGAGACCGACTCCACGCTGGATTTAGGAAACATCCGAGCCGAGCCGCTCAACTCTGTCGTCCACTGACCTCTGACCCCTGTGAGGCCGCTGTGGTCCTGGCGACAGATGGCAGCGGGCCTGTGTGTTGTGTTTGGGCCGCCACGGGAGTCTGAGCTGGAGCAGGTTTGCTGAGTGGTGTGGGATCTGATGAAGTGAGTGAGTCCCCCTCCTCTCACAGACTCCTGTGGCCTCGTTCCTCTGTTTGTACTTTTTATAAATAAAGAAGTGAGTTGATGGATGTTGGATTTACATTTTTATGCCCCGTCGTTCTTCTTTTTGTTGTTCAACCTGCGATTGTTTGAATGAAGTTTGATTTGTTGTGTATTAAACCAAGCGTTTCGCTCCCTGAAAAAAACGTGTCACTATGCTTTGTGGTTAATTTGACATTTTGAATGGAGGAATTCAAAGCGTGTTAAAGATTTTATCTCATTTTGATCTGTTATTAAAGCAGATGAACGTTTGAAAGTAAAACCTTCTAATTTCTGTGCAATAGCCTCCTACTTTGACCTAAACACAGGCAGAATTTTCCCCTTTTTTAGGGAGCATTTTAACAAAGTATAACCTCAAATGTGACATACATTTTTAGGACTATTATGAATTGATAGCTGCTAAATTAAATGTCAACGCTT